TCCAACCACTTTCCATCATTTTTTCTAAAACCAGGGTCTCTCAATTAATGTGAAGCTCATCAGTTCAGCAAGACCAGTGGGTTTCTGAGGTTGGCTGTCCTCTGTCCCTCACCTCCATTCCAGCTCTGGTTACAGACATGGACACAAACTGCCCAAACTAGCATTTGCGTGAGTGCCAGGAGTCTGAACTCACTCCTCACGCTTGCAGTGTTCAGGGAACCACCCCCCACATTGCCTCTGTTTAGAATCAGTGTATGGTTTTAGCATCAGGGACACGACAAAATGCCACCTCTTCCAGCCTGCATTGGCAGTGAGAGCCATCCTTTGTCATTCATTTAAGGAACCTGCCCAAAGGAAAAGGTCCCTTAGGACAATGGGAGGAAGGCAGCATTTCGCTGTCCTCCCTGATGCTCTGTGACTTGCCTACCATCAGGCCTGGCTGCTGAGTTAGTTTTTCCATCTGCTGTGGCTGCAGGTAATTTGGAGACACTGACGTCACTGGACCATCTGTTCAGCAGAGCCACAGCAACGCTTCCCTCCTGAGTTGTTTATGCCTTGACAGCTACTTCGGGCTATTTTAATGCACTCTGGGTAGGGACTGTGTTGTGTTTCAACTAGCTCTATGACATCAGAGTCAGAACGGAAGTTAATTCTGTTTGTAATCATTTTTAAAATTCAGTTATAAATAGAAGTGCTAAAACTCATGGTTAATCCCAAAACAAGAAAAAGCAATAGGTTGCACATGCGTTTGAGTATTGGTGGTCATAGGAACACACCACATGTTCTCTCTCTCTCTCTCTCTCTCTCTCTCTCTCTCTCTCTCTCTCTCTCTCTCTCTCTCTCTCTCTCTCTGCTGACTTCTGACAGACCAGTTTCCCCATCTGATTACTCTAGCTGTGCCCAGGGTCTGGCACAAGGGAGATGCTGAGTAAATCTTGTGCCATGAAGTGCTTTCCTTTCTCTAAGGCACTCTTGAGGAAACTTAGATACTGTGATGCCACTCTTGGTGTCAGCCCGGCTACATCTGGAATTAACTAAAACCCAAATAACTGGGCACAACTGTGAGAGATTTTTATTCTTAATTAAATCATTTGAAGTGGGAAGAGCCACTTCTAATCCATGTCTTTGAGGTGGGAAGATCTTTAATCTGGGCCACACCTTCTGCTGGAGGCCTCTCCAAGGACACGGAAGAAGGAAGCATTTGGTCTTCCCCTTTCTGCTCTCACTGGAAAGTCCACTCATTTACTGGCATAGAGCTGCTTCCTCAGGATCCCTGTGTATATGAAGACCAGCGGAGACAGCCAGCCTCATGGACTGAACAACTGCTGAATTCTTAGACTGTCTTGGTAGGCAGCCATTGTTGGATTAGCTGGACCATAGCCTGCAAGCCAATCTAATAAATCCCCTTCCTATATTTTACAGGTTCTTTCCCCATAGAAAACCCTATCTAATACATATTTTTATCTTCCTGGACCTAGGAACAGTAGGGAACTCATATTTGCTTCCTCCTTAAGAGAGATTCCAGGGAACTATACAGGGATGGAAGCTTCTCCCCAAAGACCTATATAGATACTTAGCACCTGTTACATTTTCTAGCAAGCCACAGACACCTCCAGAATGGAGTAGATATTTGTTGTGTGACAAACCTTTTCTGGGAAGATGCAGCACAAACCTCAGATAGGGATTCCACAACAGGCCAAAGTATAGATGCCATTGTTAAGTGCTGAAACTCCAATAGGAAAGGTATTCTTCCCTGGAGCCAAGGAATACCACAGAGTCACACCTCACAACTAACTTCACACAAGAGATTTACCAGGAGAGAAAAAAACCCAGAAGGCAAGAAGCGTCAGGGAACTGAACACCACAGATAGGACTTGATGACTGAAAAGAAAAAGGGGGGGATCGGGCATAATCTCCCTCCCTATTGAGTGCATAGGCAAGGGAAATGGAAATTCACTGTAGAAAATTCTCAAAGAACCAATAAAAAACATATTTAAAAAGCTAAAATTAAAAGATGAAAAACACTCCATTATGTCCTTATCTCTCCCCTCACAACCTCCCCAGATTAATCCACACCCTAGTCCTGTTGGATTTACCCTCTGTGACTGGGTCCAGAATCCTTTCATTTTATTTCATCTTCTCCAGCATTAACTTAGATCAAGCTACACTTGCCCCTTATCTGGAGGCACTGGTCTTTTATATCAACTCTTGCCCCTCTCGTTTGTTTCCTACAGGTTATGACATTCACTTGGCGATGCTTTCGTTATCCGAGACCCTTGGTGACACAGCACGTTTTCAGAGTGATGCTCCAAGTCCTTAATACCCTATGTAGAGCCTGCGTAGTTGTCCCTTACCTGCCTACTTAGGTCATCTTGCTTCCCATGTCCTTCTTCTCTGTACTCTGACATTACGGTTTTTAAAAGTTCTCTCACCGGTGCCTTCTTGATGCCATTACTCATGGTGGATTTTCCTTCTGGTCGATCTTCCTTGGTTCATGCCTACCCATTTTCCAGTCCTCCACTCCAGGTTTCTCATTAGCCTAGCATTGCTTGTTGGTGTTGCTTTCGCTCTGTTTCCAGCAAGCCTGGTTTCAGTCTGCATTGCGTGTCAGAACCGAGCACTTCCTTTTTGGTTTGGCAGATATCACATCTGGTTCACTGTCACTAATTCCCATCTTAACTGGTAACAGAGCCCTCAATGTTTAACAAGATGCACGAGTTATGTGTGTCTCATATCTAAGTACCAGTGTGTTAAATAATGGTCAGAGGTGTGAAAGTGACCGTGTGTCCATTTATAAAAATGTTCTTTTTCCATTCCTCCTTCCTAGTTGTCAACCTGTGTCATAAAGTGAAGCGCATCCTGGGGACAGTGTGTAAGACAGAGGGTGAATCCTTTGTGCTCTGAACACAATACTAGATTAGCTGCATTGACATCACAAGTAATTTCTATGTTGCATGAATGTCTTAGTTAGGGTTTCTATCGCTTGAGTGAAACACCATGACCAAAAAGCAAGTTGGGAAAGAAAGGGTTTATTTAGCTTCCACTTGTACATTGCTATTCATCACAAGTCAGGACAGGAACTCAAGGAGGGCAGGAACCTGGAGGCAGGAGGCCATGCAGAGGCCATGGATGAGTGCTGCTTACTGGCTTTGCCCTTTATGACTTCTTCAGTCTGTTTTCATATAGAACCCAGGACCACCTGCCAGGGGATGCCACCACTGTAATGGGTAGGGTTCTTCTACACCAATCATTAATCAAGAAATGCCCAACAGACTTGCCTACAAGTAGTGTGGAGGCATCTTCTCAACTGATATGTCTAGGTTTGTGTCAAGTTGACATAAAACTAGCCAGCTCATCATCGTATGCTAATATATAATTGAGTGTGCACATGATTAAAATCAGATGCATTATGGGAAAGGCATGGGAAATAGGAAAAGCCAGTATAGACCTTAATGTGTCAATCAAAATAGATAACTGCTTTCTTTATGTCCATTAATAATTAAACTCCTCTTGAACCCTATAAAATGAAGCCTGCAGCAACAGTTGAGGCCTTGAGTATCTGCATTCATATGACCACTGCCAGTCTTGACTGTGTACCCCTCTTTCTAATCTGCACTGTTCTAATCTGCACTGTTCCTTGCTACTTTTGCGAATCTGTGGGAGCCCTTATTTTCAATTCTTTCAATAAGAGGCTGAGAGCCTGCACATACCTGACTCCACACCCCTGACCATGAGTACCAGAAAGATGGAAAAAAAGGACTCCCTTGTATTTTAGAATTTAAGAAAAAATGAAGTAACCCCGGCTTGATGACATAGCTAGTTCTCAGCCCATTGGGTTGAATTGGCAATACTGAGTACATCTTCTTCCATATGGAGAAAGAGAGAAAAGCCAGCCTACTCTCCGTAGACACTGTTACTGCAGGGTATTTTAGCCTAGCCTGACAGGTACATCAATCAATATCCACTTCTGGCAATGCCATAGGCATTGGCCCAAGATAAATTGACACATGAGATAGAATACAACATGCTGAGATCAATACAATTTAGAACAAACTAATATTGCAAAATGTCCCATTTCCTAAGTCATCAACCAAAATCAATCCAAGTTTTGATAAATCATAGACACCAACTTCTAGAAATCTTGTAACTCCTGTTTGACGCTGAATTAATTCATTGTAAGCAAGCAGCCCTGGGATGGTGTTGTTGAAAGCTATACATTCCTTTCTACTTCCCATAGGGTCTCTGAGGCTCCCAACAACCTGAGTCAAGCGCATTTACCCAGTAATCTTGACACAGCAGTCTGTGTGCTGAGTGTGAGCATTCAGTGGTGCCGGAGAGCCATGCCCTCCATGTGGTCATGGTCAGGAGGAGAAGACAGGTATTTAGCCTCCCCCCAAAAAGCTAATTTCTTTACTAAAAGAAATTATATGTATATGTTTGAGAGTATGTGTGTGTGTGTGTGTGTGTGTGTGTGTGTGTGTGTATGAATCTATGTGTATTGGTGTGGGTCTGTATGTATATCTGTTTTTATATATATGTGTGTACATATTTGTGTGTATCTGTGTTTTTATGTATGTCTCTCATATATATATTTGTGTGTGTGTCTGTATGAATATATGTGCATGGGTGTAGGTCTGTATGTGTACCTGTGTGTTTTTATATATGTCTCTTGCTCTACATATATATACATACACATATATATATATTTGTGTGTGTGTGTGACTACGTATGTGTGTCTGTCTGTGTGTTAAATGTGTACTTGATACCCAGAGCTACAGCAGGGACATAGGAATCAACAGACAACAAATCCACGTATTAGGAATGTAGGAATGGCTGAGTGGAGTCTGTACATTAACATTAGCCTGAGTCACTGACATGACAAATTATATAGAGAAATAAACTTCAATTTGCTTAAGTAAGTTATAGTGGAAACCTGCAAATCCAGGCACTCCTAAATCCTAAAAATATCAACTGTCAAGTAGAATACTTGAGACATTTTCAAAAACTGTAAGTTTAATTTTGTGGTAGCAAGAACTAATTAGAGGTGTCATTAGATGAGTGCAACTGTGGCTAGTTAGAAGATCCACAGTTCAGTTTGATTTGCTGTAGTAATGAAGCACAGTAATTAATTGATTCATTAGGAAGACCTACAGATTGAAGGACTGTGGCTGTGTGTTCAATAGTCCAGTTCCGGTGTTAAAATCTATTGATTTCAGAGGGGAGTCTTAGCATCCACAGCACTCTGATGCATATGAAGTATGTCTTAGTTACTTTCTTATTGCTTCAGTAAGGTATGTTGACAAAAGGAGCTGCAGAGGGGAAGGGTTTATTTTGTTTTACAGTCTCTGAGGGACACAGCCTGTCACAGCAGGGACCAGCAGCAGCCAGGAAGGCATGGGCAGGAGGCTAGATGATCACATGGCCTCTACACTCGGAAAGCAAACAGGAAGTTTGCCTCAAGGGCCACCTCAGTGACCCACTTCCTCCAGAGGGGATCCACCTTCTGAAAATTTCCCAGCTTCCCCAGAGTGTCACCAGCTGAGGACCAAGAGTTCAACCATGTGAGCATGTGGGGAACTGTCATATTCAAGTCACAACATACAAGTTTATATGACTATGGCATATACATACATACAAAATATGTAGGAGAGACAGGAATACATAAGAAAAAAAAAGGCTGGTACCAACTGCAGGTTTTCTTGCGTGTCTTTATAGTTTCATGTGGCACCCCATTGTCTAACTATCGCACAATCTACTTAGTCACTGTCCTATAGCAGAGGACTGTTTGCTAATTGAACCCCAAGTCCCTTTGAACACCAAAGAACAAAACTGTATTTGGAGGTAGGGCCTTTACTGGTCAAGTTCAGTGAGTCCATGTGAGCAGGGTCTGACCTAATGTAACTTGTGTCATTGCAAGAGGGAAAGACACCAATGGAAAGGCCATGTGAGGACAGGAAGATGAAATCACTTCTGCTGACATCTTGATCCAGTCTCCAGAACAACTTGGATATAAATTGCCATCTTTCAGGCCATCTCATCATCAGGGGCTTTGTTATAGGTGTCTTGACAGGCTGATGTAACCCGTATGGAGATAGCTGCCAATATTTTGCTATTGTAGTTAGTGCTGTAATGAGGAATCTTGTAAAAATGTTGTTTCTGGCTTTTAAGACATGTGTTTTTTGGTTAAAGGGCCAAAGTGGGATTGCTGGGTCAAAGGCTAAGTGCATGGTGCAGAAGTTTTATTAGACACTGACAAATTTCCCTCCACTGGGATCTTTCTACATTCCAGAGCCCAGTGACTTCACAGTCTGATCACCAAGCCAGGGTAAAGTCCTGCCTGTAAGCTAATCTCAGAGTGAAGCCTGTGTCAGCACGGCTCTAATTTAGATACTATGTAAAACGTGGGAGGGCCATTGGTAAGTAGTTCATCCTTTAACCTCAACATGTTATTTACTGACTTTCCCACATAACTCCGCCCCTCCTTCTCTCTCCCCTCCCTCTCATTACCCAGTTTCCTTTTGGTCTTTGGAGACAAGGTCTCCCTGTGTAGCCCAGGCTGGACATGAGCATGCCACCACACCAATTCGAGTACAGTATACACATGTACTTGTATGGAACAGTGGGCTTGTGTTCTCCTTATAGCAAGTGCTATGTCCTAATATTCCTGCTCAGTTTTTATGTGTCTTTTTTCACTTTATTTCAATAGTTTTACTTCAAAAATGTTTGAAACCTGCAAAAGTGGCCAGAATACTACAAATATGTGTTTTGCATTCTCAGCCCAAATTACCAACTCAGTTACCAGCTTTCATTTTTCTTTTCTTTTTTTGTCCTATTTGCTTTATTTCTCTGTCTTTGGACATTTCTAGTTTGCAAATATGGAGCACTTTCCTTTACTATAATACTTCAATGTCAAATTCTTAAATTCATCAAATAACTGAAACACTTAAATTTATGTATCTATAATATATATATCATATATGTCTACCCCTTAATCTACAGGTTTAATCAAATTTTGCCCTGTATCCCAACAATGCCTTGTACAGATCACTTTTCTTCTCTGTCAGTTGATTCGCATGTACTTCTGGTGCCTCCTCACGCCTACTCTCTCCGAGCTGGGCGCGGAACCCAGGACTGCAAACGTCTTAGGCCAGCGCCTGGCCACTTAGGCACACCCTAGTCTTTGTTCCTGGGATCTCTTGTTTTCTATAACAATGCATTCTCCACCTTTGGTCATCTTTCATTCCAATGGAAGCTTTGGAAAGGACAAGCCATTCGTTCTGCGAGTGCCTACTGTGTGGGCGTGTCTGGTGAATCCCTTGGGGGTAGACTCGAGACCGCATTGGAGAACACCGCCCAGAACTTGACATTGGCCCTTTATTGGGAATGTTTGAATTGGGAAAAATAAATAAGAAGGAAAGGGAAGGACATGATGGCTCCCAGGAGCAGTGGAGGAGAAAGTTTATTGTAGATATGCGGGAGAGGATAGCCAGAGGCAGGGACATCAGGGACAGTCCAGAGTGGACGTGACCAGGCTGAGCTGGGCCACGTGGGGAGAGGGGGAGGGAAAGAAGGGGAGGGAAGGGAGCCAGGCACAGCAGCCAGGAGGCCAAAGGTACAGACAAGGAAGGGTAACCAGAATGTCTGGGTTACACAGGGAGCCTCTGGGTGGGGGAGGCCAGAGTGGAGGGCAGGGAATGCCAGCCATACCTGTAACAGGTGGGGACTGGGGGATGCTGGGAGAACCTGAGGCCAGGCCTGCTTTGGTGTTAAGTAGGCACCTCAGCCTTTTATCCCATGTTCGAAACCTAACAATGTTGACTTTCACCACCTGATTCAAGCTGCCTATGGCTTTTTTTCCTTTGTAAAATTGGGATGTGTTCCCTTGGTGAATGTATTCATTATTTGCATCACTGCAATAATAAAATATCCCGGCAAAAGCAAACTTACAGGAGAACTTGGGCTCACAGCTCTAGGGCACAGTCCATGGATGGGAAGATCTGGTGGTTGAGTTTGAGGCTGAAGTGACCCTCAGACCACATCGAAACGCCAGTTTCCAGCACAAAGAGCTCCACTAGTAAGCAGGGCAAAGAGAGTGGTGGCTGAATCTGAACCTGGAAGAAACAGCAGCAAATAGCTTTGTAGCAAGGAGTGATTTTAGGGGGGAAATAGGAGGTCTGGGTTACAACAGGCTCAGAAATGGTGAGTTCTGACTGCACATGTCAAACACAGGGTAGCCCAAAGGGGCTTTTTGATTGCTGGACCGTGAGGTTTTCATAGGTGAACCTTGGTGATCAGGAATGCGTCAGACAGAAGAAAGTGGCCAAATGAGGGAAGGGACCTTGGTGGCTAGCTTTAGGAATGTAATCCAGTTGTTCAGCGAGGGGAGGGGGCAGGCATGGCTGGCTAGTGGATATTGTTTGGTCCCGTCAGAGCCTCTCAGAGGCAACTGATTGCACTGCACCTCAGAGGGACGGATGCCTGTGCGATCTCTGACCGCAGCCTGTGGGATGGAGCCGTCCATAATGGGCAAGTCTCCCCCGCTCAGTTAACTCAGTGCAGAGTCATGTCCACAGCCTGTCCCTTATGTGATTTTAGATCACATCACATTGATAATATTAATGTCACAATCAACATTAACAATCCCAGTACTTCATAAGTGATTCATTGGTGATGCTTGAAGCAAATTTTTATAAACACATTTCTGCATCCTTAAATAATGTCCTTGCTTAGATTAATACCACGGTGTCTGCCAAATAGAGGTTTTCTAATTTCACCATTCCTTCCTTCTGTAGCTAGTACTTGTTTTCTGTTACACAGGATCTCTCTCTCTCTCCCTCCCTCCCTTCCTGCCTCCCTCTCTCCCCTCCTCTCCTTGCCTTCATATCTATCAGTCTCCCTGTTTGTTTTACCCATAAGTTCTATTCTATTACCACTACTATTTACTTTGATGTCTAGCCAACATTTTTAATTTCAAAGAACTCATTCTCATCCCCACTTGCCTTTTCCTTAGCAAATGTCTTCTCGGTGACTGAAAAATGGGCTATCTTTGAAAGTTCTCTTCTACCGTAAGTTCTTTAAAAGTTCTCTTCTACCGTAAGTTCTCTCTCCCTCTCTTTGCACCTCTTTCTTGAGAACACAGCTTCTTGCAAATGCCTGGGAGCTGTGGCTTGTCCTTTCATCCTAACACGTGAAGGGGCAGGCAGACTCGTGCCGTTTCCTCTGCAGTGCTGTGGGAGCTTTTCCGTCAAAGAGGCCTTGCCCTGGACATCCTGCACGTGGCTGCTGTGAGGTGAGACACATGCACTGGAGGTTGCCAAGCTTCCAGATGCATAGTGGAGCTGTTTCCTCTAGATTGTCACACTCCCTCCAGGAGGGAGGCGGGAGGCTCATGTGACTTGGGAGCTCCTGAGAACCGTGTCTCCCTAGACCCTCCATGGGGTCCTATAAGCTGTGAACAACTGCAGAGGACTCTTGGGTAGAGCTGTCTGGAAGCTGGGAGGGGAATTCCAGGGATGCAGCTTTCTCCTGTGCGGGGGTGGGCTTTTCAGCAATACATACGTCCCACTTCCCCAAGCTCCTAAAAGTAACCCCAATAAATTCACTACTTCACCAGGTCAGACCTGGGTGGGATTGTTTCTTTGGTCTGTCGCTGCTCTATCTGCAGTAAATAGGCGTTTATTCAACTTTCTCCAGAAAAAGTTATACAACAGGATGTGAAAGTGTTAGCCAGCCATCCTTCCCACCCTTCCCGAAGAACCAGGACAGTTATCATGGGGCTCCAGCCCTGCACTGTGGAATCTCTCCCTTTCTCCCCAGACAGCCATCATGATGTCACATCTTGGAAGGGCTCACTCTCAGGGTTTGGTCCATAGCCGAGCTCACGGCTGCCAGTTCTGGGACTTGAGGCTAGGCTAGGGGAACATCGAAGCACAGGAGGTGAGTGGGAGGGAGTCAGCTCAGCTTTGCTGAAGGCAGGCTTCAATTGGGAATCTCCTCTACAGTTCACCATCCCCAGACACTAGCTGTCCCTGCCTCGGGACTCCAGGACTTCAGCTCTCCTGGGGCTCCGGCTGAGTGGCAGCTTCTACTCCAGCCCGGTGGGCTCCTCCATCTGTTTACTCGCCACCATCCAGACATTCATTAATTAAATTAATTCATTAAAACCTGTCAAAGACTGGAGTGCAGGGTGTGAAGTCCATGCAGCCATGCTCTCCTCGATGTGACTAGTGACTAATTCTCAGACTGAATGCCTCCACCTTTTATACCTCTCAGATAGATGTTAGCCTCTCTTTCCACACTGCCAGGGATTATTTCCTCTGGCAGTTTTGTGTATTTTCAACAGAGTTTAAAGACAGCAGGGAGATGAGCATGGGCAGATCTCAACTTTGAGGACAAGATGTGTCTAGGGAGCTTGTCTGGGAAGTTGGGGACTTAAGTCTTTGTCCTAACCTGGTCACATCTACGTCACCATCATCCTCTGCTTCTTGCTCCCATGGCCTCTTACCCCTCCAATGTGCCCATGATCTCCTGTGGCCATTTTCCCAAATAGCTGACTCTGTGAACCTCATCTCTGGCATTTCCTCCTGCCATTCCAACACATGGCAAATAAACACGAGTGCCACCTTGTTTGTTCTTGCAATACAAGAATTTTCAAGGGGTTATAAGCAGGAGAAGCCTCAGAAGCAAGATTCAAGGAGAAATTAATGCTGCGAACGTTTAAGATGATCAGAAACCCTGTTACCTGCTTTCTACGTTCAATTTCCCCGCTAAACACAAATGCTAACCTTTCCCAAGAACTGTCCTTCCTAGAGACACTGAAAGAGCTGAGGTACAGACAACGATCAGGTTTGTCAAGTAGCAGAAGCAAAGACACCCAGTGCAGCCACAGTGGCCAAGGACGCTGAAGACATGGCTTTGCCCAAGGACACTGAAGACATAGCTTTGCCCGAAGGAACCTGCAGTTTCCCCATTAGGTTCTCAGTCATGGAGCCAAACTGGAAAGAAGCAGCCAACTGTTCACTACTCTAGATAAATGTGATGACGCCTGAGAGTCTGCTTGTGGAGATGATGGCCCGAGGCATGCAGTCCGTCACTGTAGGGGAAAAAAACCCGTCAAAGACTGGAGTGCAAGATGTAAATATCAAGAAGTTCATGTAATTACGCTCTCCTCAGCACGGCTAGAGACTAATTCTCAGACTGAATGCCTCTACCTTTTATACGTCTCAAATCTTGGGATTAAAGGCGTGAGGTCTGATTCACTCTCCCACAGCCCAGAGTGGTCTTGGACTCAGTGACCCGTCTACCTCTTAATCCTGAGTCCTGGGATTAAAGGTGTGTGCCTGGCTTCTATGGCTAACTAGTGTGGCTGTGTTGCTATTTTGATCTCCAGTGGCTTTAATAAGTCATAAACAATGTATCACCACAGTATTTGAGAAGGAGTAGGAGACGTGGCCTTGTTGGAGGAGGTGTGTCACCAGAGTGGACTTTGAGGTTGCAAAAGCTCACGCCATTCCCTGTTATCCCTCTGCCTCATGCTGTGGGTGAGATGTAAGTTCCTGGCTACAGCTGCGGTACCATTTTTCCCTGCCTGCTGCCACGCTCTCTGCCCTGATGTTTATGAACTCTAACGCTTCGGAACTGTGAACACCAAATTAAATGCTTTCTTTGGTAGTTGCTTTGACCCAGTAATAAAACAGTAACTAAGATGAAGGAATATCCTCCCTTCTACCTATGTAACACTTATAACTTAACTAATTTTTGTAATTCAAAATGTTATTCATTAAAATTCTTTTGCTTGGCTGGGTGTGGTGGGGCATGTCTTTAATCCCAACACTAATGCTGCAGAGGCAGGCAGATCTCAGTGAGTTCGAGGCCAGCCTGGTCTACAAAGCAAGATCCAGCACAGATAGGGCTGTCACACAGAGAAAGCCTGTCTTGAAAATCCAACTAACCAAGTAGACATACAAAAAACAAAACAAAAACACAAAAAACTCTTTCACTTTAACAATGTTCCTCATTCTTCCACGTGTCATATCACTGAGGAGAAATAGGGGAGTCCAGTGATAACAGATAAACTTAGAAATAGAGGTTTTGGAACTGAAAATACGAGGTCACCCAGAGACATGATTAGAATTCAGTAGGCCTCTAGTTCAGAGGTGTACAATGTCTACCGGGTCAAACCCACCCCACTTCTGCGTTTTGTAAATGGTGTTTAGTAAAGAGATTCACATGCTACTTATGCCTGCTTTATGCTACGGTGGGACCCGGGCAAATACTTGCTAAAGAAAGTCAGTCCATGGCTCACAAAGCCAAAAGTTCATCTGACGGGAGCTGATAGTCAATGTTTGCCCTGCTCTACACCACTGCTTTTCTTCTCTGGTCTTAAATTCTCACTTACTTTTATGTATAAGTTACAAAATTCTCTCAGATACAACCTCTCAATTTGACTTTAGTCAGGAAAGCATGAAGCCTTTTTCATTTTCAGGCCCGGGAGGAAAAAGCTTTGTCCGTTGGTCAAGAGGAAGATGCAGGCTCCTCACCTAGGTCTAGTGTTTGCCCACTCGGTCTCCACTCCTCGGGCTTGCCACAGCTCTCCTCACCTTAGCTCCAAACAGCACCCAGCCCAGAGACAGCCGGGTCTCCTGTAGGGTGGTGCTGAGGCAGGTGCTTGTCTCTCGGGTTTGTTCTTGTTCTAACTGGAGCTGCCCTTCAGCTCTAGCTCAAGAAGACCTGAGAACCCAGGGCCGCAGCCACACCTCAGGTGATGGAGATGGTGGTTTTCAAAAACCGCAGTTTGCTGAGCTGGAAGCGCACGTTGCTCCTCGACCTTAGCGCATGTTGTTCCTTGAATTTAGCGCACATTGCTCCTTGAATTTAGCGCACGTTGCTCCCTGAGTTTAGCACACATTTCTCCTTGAGCTTATGCCCACCGTTTGTTTTACTTGTAGGTTCCTGCCCATTTAACCACGCACGTGATTCAGGACTCACGGCTTCTGTGTGCTTTGAGTAATCACAGCTGTGTCTCCTCTTTGCTGTTTGCCTTCAACTCAAAAAGATAGCCAGTCCGTGTAAACGATCGGAACACAGGGCCACACGGGGCTGTTGCAGCACTGTCCAATGTCACGATCTTCTCTAAGTGTTTTCAATATAAATTTCTCTGAAGTGTACTGACACTGACCATTAACCAGCCACATTCACCCAAGTGCGCGAGAAGCCTTATCTTCAGGTTCCAGCCCACACTGACTTTGATGCTCCATGGATGTCCTCTTCTGCCTCCTCAGCATCCAACCTGATGGCTTTCTTAGCTCCCCTGGAGAAACAGGACTGAACACAGCGTTGTCAAGGAGGGCTTGTTTTCTTGATAATCTCTGCCTGCCAAAAATGCTGGTACTCCTTTTTACCCATCTTTCCAGGAAAGATGTGCCATCGTACATGGTGGCTTCTTGCTCTCACCAGATCTGAGTGACATCTGCCACTTAGAGCAGAAAGAGGGACTCTTCACCGTGGATGTGATGGGAAGCATCACTCCCTCTTTGAGATCTAAGCTGAAGGCAGGGTCTATCCACTTAGTGGCATCAGTACGGTCATGGCGCTACCTGTATCCCTCCACTCCCCTCAGAACTACTTTTTCCACAACCCCAATACCTCGACCGAAGCCCAACTCCATCAACCGACTGCTTGGCTTCCTCCTTCATATCATACTGAACACCAAGCATCCAGGGTGTGTACTGATTGACAGCCAGCTTGCAGAAAAGTCTAGTGTCCCCACTGACTCAGAGTCCCTTAAAGCTAAGAATAGTTACACAGGCGATTTTCATAACGGAAGAAATGAGTGTGTGTTTGAAAGAGCACCAACCCCATCTGAAGTGGTAGCTGCTGAAACACACTGGGGGGTGGTATTTTTAAATGGTAAGATTTTAGCCTTGACTCCTGATTTGAGCATAGACTTTGATGACTAAATTTCTCTAGAAGACAAAGTATTTTGGGAACAGTGTGGAACAGGACTGGCTTCATTTCAAATTCAAGTTTATCACTTCTTACATTTTGCCTCCACATTCTTTCATCTCGATTGTCAGGGCCAGGGCTCCTGAACTTTCCTCTGTTTTAAAGGCAAGAGGCTCCACATGGGACATGGCTGTGAGGGGCCAGCATGGGACAGGGCCATGAGAGACCAGCATGGGACACAGCCATGAGGGGCCAGCATGGGACATAGCTATGAGGGGCCAGCATGGGACAGGGCCATGAGATACCAGCATGGGACACGGCCATGAGGGACCAGCATGGGACAGGGCCATGAGGGACCAGCATGGGACAGGGCCATGAGGGGCCAGCATGGGACATAGCCATGAGGGGCCAGCGTGGGACAGGGCCATGAGGGACCAGCATGGGACAGGGCCATGAGAGACCAGCATGGGATACGGCCATGAGGGACCAGGAGAGGCTAAAGAGCGTGTAAGTTGGGAAATGCATGACAGGTAAGTGGTACTTTAAAACCCTGGGAAGAAAATTTCCTATTTCATGGGGAATTAAAAAAAATTTAAAACACTAAACTTTTAAAGATGAAAGACAGGCATCATTAAGTTAAAATCTTGAAGACATGCCAGAAAAGTCCTATGGTTTAACAAATGTAGAAACTCCTCCTCAGTCCATCGAAGCCTCATATTATAGGAAAACTGAAATTCACAGCTTCCAAAACAACTCAAAGCTCCAAATCCCTACATTCTGGAAGCTTCTGAGCTATTGCAAGACGTGTTTTAAAGGTCAGCTTGCTTCTCCCCGGCCCCCACCAATGCTGTATCGATGCTGTCCGCCGATGCTTGAACATGGAGACAGCAAAAGTGATTTCCCCAGATATTTTTAAAGCGTTGTTGAACTCAGCTGTGGCCCTCTCACTCACACCCGATATATGACTGACACTTACAAAAGAGCTTTTTTTCTTCTTTCAAGGCAAGGATGAAGATTTCTGCACGGAATAAATCCTCTGCCAACCCAGAAGCACAGCTGCTTGCATTTTATTTTTTGACGTGGCACTTTGGGTGGACGGGTAACCAAAAGCCAGCAGAGCGCTGCACAGGTGAAGTGCCATACATCCTACACACGCCACACCACACGGCTTCCTGCTTACTCCGCACTGAGGACTGGATCGGCATGGGTCAGCAGACGGAACACTGGCCTTCCTGCACGGAGAACTCATCGACCATGAAAGCGTAAACACGGGGGGGGGGGGGTGCTGTCCTTGTGGCAGGAGACTAAACCCAGGTGTTTGAGGAAGACTTTCAGTATGAAGTGACACTTTCATTCATGATAATTAATGGGTCGAAGAAACTAGAATCTAGGTTATTTAACAATTACCTCTCTTGCAAAATGGGAGTGTTTTATTCAAAAGCTCATTATTTGATTCCATAAAACATGGAATCCCGAAACCTCCACATCCCGTTGTTTATAGTTTTTCTTTCCCCTAAACCTTGAACGCTAACATTGCACATTGCAGGCTCGTCAGATAATGAGCAGGTGAAAAAGCAGTGTATAATAGCTCCAGGCCTCTGTGTGGGCCAGCAGGCTTCTGAGCCTGTCGCTGAGATCTCCAGAGGCTGGAGAAGTACTGGGGAGATGCGGACCATTTTATTTTTGTTTAATCAAATAAACGATGAGTTTTCCCATGGGGTAGGGGAACACTCAGTAAGAAACGGAAGGGACCAGACCCTCACCCAGGCCCCTGCTTTGGCAGCCATGACAGGCTGCAAAAAAAGACCCAGTGAGATATAGGCCCCTGACTCAGCAACATGTGCTGAGCTCCTGACCTTGCCCTCCATGTGGTAAGGAACCAATCAGAAGTTAGCTGGCAGGCTTGTACTTGGTGACAGTGGAGGGCAGAGCATAGCCACCACTCTGGGAGGGCCTATGGACCATAACAACCTGACTGAAGCTGCAGCTGACCAATCAACACAGGACAGGTCACCCAAGCTCGGAAGCGCACCAATCCCGAGACTGTTGCGGACCCCAGACACACCTCTTGCTCTACCCCAATATGTTCCCTGCCCCAAGATCCCTCCGGGTCCTTCTTGCTCCATCTTCTGTGTCAGACAGACAGAGGACGTGAGTTAATACAGTTAACTCATTAATACAGTTAACTCTTTGCTTTTATATCAGGTCGGGTCTCTTGGTGATTTGGGGGTTCAGGGTTTGGCACAACAGAACTAGTTAGTGTGACGCTGGAACAGGGGCATGAAGATAACCAGGTCCCTGAGTCACGGGACTTAGAGGCCTGAAGCTGAGGATGGATAAAGCAAATCATAATGTAAACAGCACACAATATCCATTAGGATAAATGCTACAAAGCAGAGATTTTAGTGATATTAGAGACGATAGAAAATCATGGTGACAGAATGCCTAATCAAGGATTCCCAAATCCCAGCAGCAGTGCATGGAGTCAGCCCTCTTTAGAGAAAAGGGAGATAGAAACGTAGGCTCTAATGTGAGTAATGGCGATGGAGTCAGAGAGCAAGCCATAAATGGTCGGTCAGAACTTGGTTGAGCAATGAGTCCATATTTTATCCAAATATATGTCTAACTCCTATTTGTCTCCAATGTCTGTGCTGTCCCATCAACCTTCGTAATAAAACTCCCAAATTCTAGACAGGGACATGGCTGCCTCCATAGAAACTACATTTCCCAGAATCCTATCTGGTTGCTGGCCAATGAGGTATAAGCAGAAATACTGGAAGCTACTTGGATGTTGTCTTTGAAGCAGAGGGTATATTCTTCCGTCTTCCAATTGTTAAGAATGCTGATGTGAGGGTATGATTTTGCCCCTGCACTGTGATGTAGGAGCCGTGTTCTGAAGATGACAGCAGAATCCTGCATGCCTGACATCACGGTAGATGACACAGGAGCCCAGGTGGAGACCTGGACTTCTTGATGACAGGATATTCCACTGAATTATACTTAGATCTAAACTATCCTCATTTGAGGTTTATGTCTCAATTCTAACTGAGAGTGAACTCACTTCTTTAAAAACAGTTAAAGAACTGCCTCATGAGAATGACTGTTAAACCCACAAATTCCTATGTTTTTTTTATAATGTCCCTGACTGGATACTCAGCATAATAAACTCCAAGAGAATTGGTTTCCATTTCTTTTGTGCATTCATTAGCATCATCATTTGACAGGGGCTGTTTGTAAAGCACATTTGATATTATAGAGGACAGAAGTCACCAAAGATTTAATGCCTTCTCTAGAAGGCTCCACTAACAAACTGCAGGTCACAAATGAAGGTTAATTACCTTCATTATGGAGTTACCATAAGATAAAGCTTGCATAATGCCCTCTCCAGTCCAGGAGAAAGCCTGGCAGAAACTTCACAGAAAGCTTTTATTTGTTCAACTCAATAAGGAACAGGTCTCTGCTGACCAGAGCTGGCCACTCAGACAGAGAAGGAAGGCAAAGACCTCTCTCCTTTGAAACCAGGACTTCACCAAGAAAACTCAGCTAGGTCCTGGGCCTCAGCCGTCTGCTGATGAAAACCATCTTTTCACTGCTCTTGCCAAAGCTGGTTGGTCCCCAAGCGCTGAGCTCTTAGGAATGAATGCCCCTGTTTTGCAGGAGAGAATCCCTGTATGTGCTGGGCACAGCAGCCCAAGAGCACAGAGTCTTAGTGAACACCGTTGGACAGTTTGGGGGCCCAGGGAAAGCTGGAGGAAGAGGACCAGGACAGATGGGTGCCAGAAAATCTCTGAGTCAGACCACTTGAGTTTGATCCCCAGGATTCCCACAGGAGACACAAAGAACCGACCCCTGCAAGTCATAACCCAACCTCTGCACATGCGTCAAGGTGAATGCGCAGGCACGTGCGCACAAACACACACGCACAATGAATGCATAAATGTTAAAAATGTTCTTCTAAATCTTAGGTGACAGCTGTAATAGGGAGGAAGGGCTATTTTGAGCATCTCTGTTTGTGCCAGCGAATAAAGAAGAGGCAGAGGAGTGGGTATGTTGTGATGTGTATGAAGAAAAGCCATGCACATGCATATGCAAATGACTTGTCTTCAGGGTTACTCACAGAGCTACAGCAGCCGAAAGACTGCCGGATGTGAAACAGACTTGGACAAGTCCTCACTGTTCACATCGTCATCTGCCTTGCCTGACTTGAAAATTAAAACCAGGAAACTGATACAAGTGGCTAGAAAAATTATATACAGATTAGAAAAATATTGAAGTTGCTCTTGAGAGTGCGTAGCAGCCAGCTTCTAAACATTCATTTCTCCTGAAATGCTTTCCATTTCTGAAACTACCATATCTCTGGAAGTCAAGAAGAATAGAAATGCAATTGAAGAAATTCTTTTATTTAATACTTGGTTCATGGTGGGCGGCACTTGGTTCATGGTGGCATCCCAGGAATACCAAGATGCTCCCAAGGAAGGGGAACTAAAGAGGACTTCATTACCAGATGAATCTGTCTGGTTAATAGTGACACAGTTGCTAAGTCAGCAGGATAGAAACAAAATAACATGCAAATTTCAGTGGAACAGAAAGGAGAGACAAGAGAGTGATCCACACACAGCCAGAGGCTCTAGAGAGTCACCCCACACACACCCAGGGGCTGTAGAGAGTCACCCCAAACACACCCAGGGGCTGGGCATAGAGCCCAACTCGTAAAACCAGCCAGA